TCATCCACAAAATTTACTTGCTGTGGCCTTATTAATTCACGACGTCGTGTAAAATAAGAGAGACAGATCACTCCACCGTACAGCCGACTGACTGGTCACACATGAGAGATATGTGTTATTTCACGGCATAGTGTTTGTAGTAGCCTCCAGCATGTTTTTAGTTCTTTTTTTTCGGATACGGTTTCTTTTTTGCACTGAAATCTTACTTATATTCCTACCAGTGCAAAAATAAACCCCGGCAAATTGCAAAAACACGCCAAAATTAACCCAAAAACCAGATTTCTGCAGGGAGAGTATTTCTTTTTTTACTATTGTGAATTCCACGCTGATTTTCTTAATACATTTTCCCACTTGCAACAAATGAGAGAAATGAGATGACCTTTTCTGCTACCGTTCTGGGACCTTTTACCTAAATTCTTGTCAGTGTTGTTGTCATATGGAATATGCTAGGCAACTTGGAGGCAACATAACGTATCTATGTACATTGTACATCAACCATAGTTAATATAAAGCAAACGAACCAGTTTAAAATCAAGCACATCAGTAATTTGGGTCAGACATCACATGGGTCTCGCTTTTAAGACTTGAAGGCATATCAGAAAATTATACAATAATCTGTGATCCAAAACTCTATACTGAAAACAAAAACTGCCGGAGAGGCTTTTTTTGTAATCTTCAAGTAGATCTTTTGGTGGGGGTAAGACAGTATTAATTGGCCAGTCTGTAACCGTGTTCCAAGCATATCTTTTGGTAGGGGTAAGACAGTATCATATTGGCCAGTCTGTAACCATGTCCCGAGCAGATCTTTTGGTAGGGGTGAGACAGTATCATATTGGCCAGTCTGTAACCATTTCCCAAGCATATCTTTTGGTAGGGGTGAGACAGTATCATATTGGCCAGTCTGTAACCGTGTTCCAAGCATATCTTTTGGTAGGGGTAAGACAGTATCATATTGGCCAGTCTGTAACCATTTCCCAAGCAGATCTTTTGGTGGGGGTAAGACAGTATCATATTGGCCAGTCTGTAACCATTTCCCAAGCATATCTTTTGGTAGGGGTGAGACAGTATCATATTGGCCAGTCTGTAACCATTTGGTGGGGAAATGGTTGAAGATTAGGCCACACCAAATACATTTTATGGATGACGTCTGCGCGCGCATTGATTTTGGCCTGTTCCTAGAAAACAAAAAATTCCACTTCCTGTAACTATGACCAAAGAGTCACGACAGTGCCGCAAATCGTCAGATTGACGTGAAACCCGTAACGCGAAAACAGGACAGGACAACAACTGCTATTCCACCTGATTTATTGCTGTTTTGATGATGAATACAAGACTTCTTGCTTGCTACACTGTGTCACCTCATTCAATTTGTGTCCTAACATTTGTCGTCTCTTAGTATATTTGTAATCTAGGCATCTTGTTTTTTAGGGCCCGTCTTGTTTTTTTTTGCCCTCTCGCATTAGATTTAGGGTCTCCAAAGGACGTCATCCATAAAATTTACTTGGTGTGGCCTTAGCCTATTTTGCGGCGTGAACCGTAGCTGTGCACGGGAGGATTTTGTCAACAGCTGTCGGATCCCGGTGTTTGTTGAACACTTGAACGATCTCGGTTCGTAAATTGGAACGTAAAATGTCATCTTCGAGTGAATCAAAACTGCATTCCATACTAGAACAGAAGGACCGGATAAAATTTTTACCCTCCATGTAAATGGGGGGTATTGTTTTTACTCCGTTTCATGTTTGGTCTGATATCTGAAGATCGGTGAGAAGGAACTGTATGATATTTGGCAGATTGATGGATGGGGCCTTGGAGATTGTGTAGGTTGACTTTGAGCACCTGGTGATTGACCTTGGTACTGCAGTTTAATTTTTTTATTCTATTGTTGGCACGTTATGGTCTGTGTGTGCGATGCTAAGGTAGCATGTAGTTGTGGTTACAATGGTTTAGTGATGTAAATTTGGGCCCCCTAGCTGTTTGCTTTGAACCGGAATTGCTATCTCAATGTCAGATTGTTTGCGTTGAATGATCTCAGAACCCGGTGGATGGTTGGCGATCATTTTTGGTATGTGGGTAGATGCTGATTGTCTTTGCGTTTTAGCGTGCATTAGCAGGTTGTCGTAGATTTGCATTGCTTATTTAAAAGGATTTTCACATTTTCACCCCTATTTCATAATAGGATGGTCTGTTTGACCCCAAATTGGCACAGAGTGTTTTTGTTTATACCTCCAGCTGGCAGGTCAGGCCAGTCTATTTTTATCTCTAGACCATTTCTGCAGGAAATATATCTTATCTTTAATCGGTCATTCAGCAGGGAACTGGGTCATCTGGTGCTTGAGAGGTCATTAACCTCAAACAAACCATGGTAACAAGACACTAAACGATTGCACATGACAGCTTGGGCAACCCCTTCCAATACGAAGTGCCACAACAAAATTCTTAAAGGATAGACATCTATAGACATCTATCATTCTGCTGATAAAAACAAAGTTTGACTCATAATATCTCTATTAAAATACACCAAAAGATTACAAAATAACAAGCTATTTCATGGAGGGACGATGTCTACGACTTCTTGTTTATGCTCTTTTTTTTCTTCGACCGAGTGTTTTTGTAAAACCTTGAAAAAATAATGTGAAATGTTCTCTAGCCAACACACAAAGATGCAAAAAACGGCAGTTCTGCTGCAGTACCAAGGTCAGCCACCAGGATGCCCATATTTGACCATGGCCTTTGTCTCTGTTCGACTTACCGACGTACCAAATATCATAACGATCAATAAAGGCGTTCTGAAGTTATGACGCACAAACACACACACACACACACACACACAGATAGAGAGTAAAAGAGAGTGTGAGAGAGAGAGAGAGAGAGAGTACCTCCATTTTTTCATGGATATTGCTCATTATGAACTGTTTGAATTTTATGGTCTACTAATACAGGCGTTGTGGGGTCGTGTGGCGTAGTGGCAGAGTGCGCGACTCGGAACTTAGAGTCCCGGGTTCGAGTCCTTACATGCCACCGATCTTGTGCCCTTGGGAAAGGCACTCAGTTACACGACTTTCCTCACTCAGCTCAGGTGTGAATGAGTATTGTCCTGTCATGTATTTGTCCCCTTTGTTGGTGGCGGCATTAATATAAGTTGAAAAAACTTGAGTGTGTCGTCACCACGTCTGGTGATTACATGTTGGAATAAAAAAATATAGGCTTCAGACAAGCTACATGTATGTCTAGGAACGTTTGCCCGAGTAAGTGAAAAAAAAAGCGTATTTTGATCAAAGCTTCTGTGGTGTAACGTTTGCCCACAGATCCTTCAATGGTATGTTCAAATTATGCTGTACGCAAAACAGATAGAATTACAGATCGAATGACAACTTTGATAGGCACTATACCCATACATAATATGACGGCATCGGGCATTTAGCATAGATTAATACAATCCAATTTCCGGTCTCAGCTAAGCTAATTTAAAGGTGGTAGTTTTCTACAAAAATCTATCTCTAATTCCCTACCAATTCAGCAGATTGTAAGAGGATTCTTGTAATTGATCATATGAAAAAAGTGGGAAAATCTCCGAGAGCTTACCACAAGATTACAGCTTGTACTTTGCATCCCGAACATTGGCTTATAAGTTAGAAACTTAGGCCACAGCAAGTAAATTTTATGGATGACATCCTCCGCAGACTCCAAATCTAATGCGAGCGGGCGAAAAAAAAAACAAGGCGGGCCAGAAAGGTTCCTACATTTAAAAAAAAAATGACTCAATCATTGTACAAATGGTTTTGATTCAGTGGGAACATTACATATATACAGCCAGCATCACATATCACTGCATCAAAGTAAGGAACAAAACATTAAATCAGAGCCTTTTCTTGTCTCCTCTCTTCATAGTTAGCCATCTACCTTCCGGCATGGCAACAGACATCTTTTTCGGCATGTTAATATGTTGACCACTGTCAGAAAGCAACAAAATTTCTTTTTTCCCCAAAAAAATTAGGCAAAAATTAATGCGCGCGCTGATGTCATCCATAAAAATTACTTGCTGTGGCCTTACGGCACGTTATAACTAAATCGTGACCCGAATACACATTGTAGTATGTACGTATACTTGTATGTAGACCAGTTAACACTTAACAGTTAAACCCTTTTTACATCCACAAATTGAAAAACTCACTTAGCATTATCATGTTTTGGGCTAGGATATTGTGATTATACAAACAAAGAAATATCGTTTGAATTCCCATTATTCGTAAAATTCGGCCTATTTTTAACCACGACTACCTCTGATTGAAACTTTACGTCGGGTAAGTAGTCAAAGCAGTACTTGCAATGCTTTGATATCTCGCAAGGTGTCGCTTTGACGCAGTGTAATTTACTTCATTACATACTATATTAGAAGTGGAGCAGTTCGCTCTGGCATTCCCACAAAATCGCAAATTTCACAAAAAATCTCACACACAAAAAAATCATATTCCGTATTCTGTGATTAGATTATCAATACAAAGAAATATCTTTTTAATTCCCTTTTTGCAAAATTGAGGCCTTTGTCATCCAAGCCTCCTCCTGATTGGAGCCTTCTTGGTATCAAAACAGTTGCCTAGAGTTCCACGCATTAAATATTTACCTGGGAAATCAAAGCATTACCTGCAATGCTTTAATATCTCGCAAGATGTCGCTTTGACACTGTGTAGATTGCAAGAATACCCCCTATCTTACCAGTAGACTAGTCCACCTGCTTCTCGTTCCCATCTGCTTCTCGTTCCCAGGATCCATGTAAACAATGCCCTGTGCGAACAAAGGCTGAAACAAGTAGGTAAAAATTGTCGAATTTATCAATTTTTGTACTTTCTTTTCCCTTCATATTCGGGTAGACCAAACCTTATACATTACGCTACATTACGACGCATTTGTAAGAAATAGTATTGGAGTATTTTGTTGCTACGGGGTTATAATTAGAGTTCACGGAAGTGTGAGTCATGGGGGAGGGGGGCGTGACGCTACTGGCCCAGGCATGCCCTGGGACGTCACACTGGTGAATAATAGGTGAATAGTGGTGTATATAAAGGCTGACTGTGAGGTGGGAGAATCAGAGTGCGTTACAGGTGGAACAGGTAAGGTGGGTAAGAAACCGTAGCCGTAAAATGTCTTAACATCCTTTGATTATTTCGGAATTTACATGGCCTGACCGTGCAAAAATATATCCTTGAAGTTCGATATTGGACAAAGTTTATAGAAATATTGCCGAAAATTCATAATTTCAACAACAGAATGAAGGAAATATCTTGTAAATGCTAGCTTTATACTCATAACTGATAGCGTAATGCATTATAGGTGATATACAATAAAATAGTGGTAAAATTAATGTACTACTTAGTAAATATAGCCTTTGATATAGTACATTTGTACTGTATTAATTCTTATATAAGCGTTTCCTTGCACCTGCATAATTCTTAACTGTTATTTTGTAAGAATTAGCAGAGAAACAGAAAGATGCTCCTGGTCCCGGGCCGGGGTTTGAACCCACGACCTAACCCAGGACCAGTTGTTTTAACGATTTGGCTTAAAGGTCTAGACCCATCGGCCGGGTCAGTTGGTAGCCCCCCATCCCCACTTACAATTTTTACAGTAAGAAACTGTTACACTGTTGTATTAAACAAAGTATTATAGCTATCATACTGCTCAATGAAATTTGAACCATATAATAATATAAACGAGCATTTCTTGAAAGTTCAATGTTGGTACAAGTCATTATGAAGCAAGTTTACTATAACTTCCAACCAAGGAGGTTAATTTTTGTAACACATTAGAATTGATAGGCCTCACCCAAATTTCAACTGTGACTTGGTGAGCAAGGGATGATCGTATATGTGTAGGTTACAGAAAGTCTATGGCGCCCCCCGTCTATGTTATGGTAGCAGAACACAGTTTTTCGCCTATGGGGATTTCTATAGTTAAGGACCCGAAAGTGACTGACATCGACGCGGATAAAAATACAGTAGGGTACCATAGAAAAGCACGAGAAACGAATATGTTCAAATATAGGGTACGATGTACAAAATAACAAAAAAGTACAAAAAGTTATCGTTTTCTTTACATTGTGCCGCCCTCTTTTAAATGACCTCCTGCGGAGCGCACCGGAACTGCAGCCGACTCACCCTGGCAGGCAGCGAAAAGGTCACGCGCATTTATACGCCGACCGAGCAGCCTTCCTAATCTCAATTATGCGATATCAAAGCCGACATATTATGGTACCGTACGGTAACCTGTATGTCCCGGTGTCATCCACGTTAGGCTGTGTACAAGCGGTGCAAGCTGTTTGTCGCACTCATTTCTTATCCCTACGTCATCGTCTCCGGGGGTCGCGGAGGAATACTGTGTTCTGCTACCTTATGGAGCAGTTGCATGAACCTGCTTGTTCATAATAATCGTATCAATTTTTTCTTTTCTCTCTTCTACAGGAATTGGTACTTCCCGTGACACCCACTCTATCTGACAATACAAGAAAAAACTGTGATTGAACCAAGTTACATGCTTTATCAGCTTCTAAGGTCTCCAAATATTAGCATTAAGGCTTCGCAAACCCTCAAACTCCAAAAATCTATCCACCGCAGCCTTGTGTTAGGCAGGGCATCATCTCTTATTATTATTAAGAGCTCAAATCATCTCTTGAAGCATCAGCGTATCAGCCCTGTCTGTATTCCTGTAGCTTGGAATAACACACGGGGATTGAACCTTCAAAACTCCATCCATACAACAGTTTTCAGTATGTCGGAGCAAAGGTTCTGTGTTGAGTATGCCAAACAGGGAAGGGCCGGCTGCAAAAAATGTAAACAAAAAATCGAGAAGGGTCTTCCCCGCATCGGCAAGATCGTCCCGAACTTCTTCCACGAGGGAGATGGGGAGATGAAGCAGTGGTATCATGTCGGGTGCATCTTCGAGACATTCCAGCGGGCCCGCGCCACCACCAAGAAGATCGAAGATGCGTCAGACTTGGAGGGGTGGGAAGACATGGAGGACCAGGAGAAACAGACAATTCTAAAGCTCATCAAAGGTGTGTACTAGTACTATAAAAGATTTTCATGTTCTGCTCAATGTTCTTAGGTCCCAGGAAAACATATGGATTTTGCTCTGTTTCTTATCACACAAGGTCAATGACCTGGACCAGACCACTGTCACCATGGTAACTGGTGTTGCAGCAGACATTCTGTGGTATTAAAACAGGGCAAGTTTGTTATTTATACCGGTAATACTTGTAGTGCGATAGGGAAATTATGACCAACAATTGTGAATCGTAGTACAGAAAAATATAATAGGATATTGCTTCAAATCTTTTTAAACCTTGGTTTTTTGAGCCTATCCTATACGGTACCTCTTTCAAGATTGAAATTTATGATAAGATATTGAATACTATGCGTATGACAGTAATTGCTTCATTATCATCTATGTATTACATAAATTGTACATGTTAACGACTGTAACACTCTCTTAACCCCAGATCTGGAAAGTAAGGCCAAGTCTCCTAAGAAGAAGGTTGTCCAGGCAACACTGTCTACTACAGGAAAACTCCAGTCTCCTACCAAGAAACCTGCCAGCAGTTCAACTGGCTCAGATGGTAAGTCTAAGAGCTGTTTACTAGTATAATATATAATATAATTCTTTAATGGGATTACTAGTAATGGTTTTGGGGGAAGTATTTGTTTGGAATAAAGTATTGGCTACTAGTCTTGGTCCAGTGCAACTACATTTGTACCTGCACATTGAATATTTCAAAATACATGTATATTAATGTGTCAAATCTGCACTTTCTTTATCTCGTAAGGCTGCATGGAGTTAATTTTATTGATGACATCCGTGTGCTCATTGGCTTTTGCCTGTTCTAAAAATATTAAGAGGCCCTGGCCTGGGTGCCATCCTCCGTAGCTAGCAACAATAATAGTGAGCCGGCATTAACTACAAAGAATGGCACCCAGGTTATCCAGACTCCACAGAACTCTAGAACTGACAGTTCAGTGCAGACTCATATACAATGCCGCCAAGGCCCGATGCAATATGCGCTCACTAGTTGCAAAAGTAGTCATGTACATTCTGCAAATTTGCCATACCAACTTTGTATTCCAGGACCTGTAGTTGAGTAGCATCTTTTTGCTGTACTTTTTTTTTTGCCGACTCGACATTAGTTTTGGGATCTTCAGAGGATGACATCAATTAAAATTAAGTGTGAGCTAAATTCTTTTTTATCTTGATTTTGTTGTTATTAACCTTTTTCCTGCTGCCTAATCCCACAACCCACAAATTTGGTGCCGAATGGATTCCGTATCATGCTACCTTATTATTAAATTAGTTAGGTTAATTATATGTTCACTCTCCATGTTAGATGCCCCAGCAGCAGGCCCATCATCATCATCATCAGCCGTGACCTCTGGGTCGTTGACCTCCCCCACCCCGACCCCTGACCTTGACCACAAGGACAACGCATTCCGAGAGTTCCGCCGACTGTGTGCGCTCATTGCTGAGGAGCCGGGGTATAACGCCAAAACCAAGCTGGTGTCTGACTTCCTGAAGAAGGGATCTAACGGAGGTCAGAAAATCTGACAATTTTTGAAAGAAAATTGTTTGAATTTTATGTCTTTAGCTTAATTCACTAAAATACGTTCACGGTAGCAAAAGTTAACGATCTGAGAAAAATGGACATGTTCACGGACTAATATATTCACTGTGGTGACAGGTGCAGGAAAAAGAAAGTCCAGGAATTATTTGTTAACTGTAATGATAAGTTCACGGTACAGAAGTGAAGATGAAAACAGTGAACATTAACAGTACAGTGAAAAAATTTAATGTAATTCAATTTCTTACTCACAATTTCTAACCAACAATAATACAACAAAGGTTTGATTTTTTTTTCTGACACAGACTTTTAAATGTCAAGTAGATTCACATTGTTGTAGCCAGGCTGAATTTTTTTTGCCATCATCTCCAGTTTTTTTTCCTGTAACATACTCTCGTGTCCCTAATTAACATACCCCCCGGAATAAACATACCCCCCAGACAAATCTTCAAAGTCTAATAAAAAAAAATTAAACATACCCTCCGGAATAAACGTACCCCCCGGAAAATGACCAAATTGACAGGTGAACGGTA